TTATGGTTTTACATTAGTTGAATCAACCTTGCATCCTTGAATTAAAGCCTACCTGGTCATGGTGTATAATCTTTCTTATATGTTGTTGGATACTATTTGCTAGTATCTCATTGAAAATTTTTGCATCTGTATTCATCAGAGATATGGGCCTATAGTTTTCCTTCCTTGTCCTCTCCTTGTCTGATTTAAGGATAAGGGTAATAGAGGCTTTGTTGAATTAATTTGGGAGAGTTCCACCCTTTCAGATCTGTAGAATTAACTTGAGCATAATGGGGATTAACTCTTCTTTAAAAGTTTTATAAAATTCAGAAGTGAAGCCATCAGGACCAGGACTTTTTTTTGTTGCAAGGTTATTTATTACTGGTTCAATCTCCTGGATTGTTATGGGTCTATTCAGACTTTCTATCTACATCCTCTTGAATCAATTTTGGTAGATTATATGTGTCCTGGAATTTGTCTATCTCATCCAGGTTTTCTTGTTTGTTAGCATGTAGTTGTTCATAGTATCCTCTCATGATGTTTTGTATTTCTGTTATGTCTGTTGTTATAGTTTCTGCTTCATTGCAAATCTGACTTACCTGGTTCCTTTCTCTCTTCTTAGTCTAGCTAGGGTTTATTGATACTGTTTTCTTTTCAAAGAACCAGTTTTTACTTTCATTTATTTTTCATATTGTTTATTTATTATTTATTTTATTTATTTCTGCTTCAATCTTTATTATTTCTATTCTCCTGAAGATTTTTCTGTTTGTTTTTCTTTTGCTTTTCCAATTCTTTGAGGCATGATGCTATGTGTTCCATTTGCTTTCTTTTCATCTTCTTCTTACATGCACTATTTTCAATAAATTTCCCTTTTATGACTGCTTTTGCAGTGTCCAAAAGATTATGGAGACTCATGTTCTCATTGTCATTGACTTTCATGAATCCATTAATTTAAGTCTTAATTTCTTCAGTAGTTGTGAAGTCATTCAGGAGTAGGCTATTTAGTTTCCATGTATTTGTGTATTTTTTTTTTCCTTTTTATGGAGAAGATTTTGCTATAGGGTATGTGCACTCACCAGAAAGACAGAAAGAGACAGAGAGAAAGAAAATGAGAACTCACCCTTCAGAGGGGATGGTCATGCTGTAATTCCTTCTCTTCCATTCTCCTCTTGGGATCTTGGGCATGCACACACATGCTCCTGACATGAGTTTAAGCCACCGAGTCTGGGACTTGAACCGTGGTTGACCACATGGAAGCACAGCAACATAGCCATTACGCTAACTGCTGGTCCCTGTATTTGTGTATTTTTAAGGATTGTTCTTAAATTAATATCAAGTTTGATTCCATCATGGTTGGTGTTTGTGCCTATCATGTGGTCAATCTTTTTTTTAATTTTATTTTTTATTATCATCATCACAATCTTCTTTATATTACACTGGATTACATATAACTTTACAGTGTATTACATTGTTTCTTCAAAAGGGAACGCCATGCATGTCTGTCAGTACAGAGACATTAATCTCCCCACCTCAACATTCAATATCTTTTCTATTTTTTCCCCAATCATTATTTTTATTATTCTAATTATTTTTTAAAACAGTCAATTGCTATTTCTCATTTTGCTTGTAAAAATACTCTGCCCATCATGAAATACCTCTCAGACCAATCCAGTTGAGAATACTATACATGTTATCATCAACAGTTAATAAGCCCTATCTGTTTCTCACTAACGTCCTGCCTCTCTATTGTTCACTGCTATCTTTTTTTTATTTATTAATTCACTTTACACCATCACAACACACAAATGAATTTTCCATCCAAAATACACTGTGCATTGGCTCAATCAAGTACATCCACATACATGTTCTCAGCAAATAATTTTCCAATTCTTACGTCCTGCATACCTTGCCCTTTGTCTTGCCATCCCTGATTCCCCATC